GATCTATATTTATTCCGATTCCAAAGAAGGGTGACCCAACAGAGTGTGGAAACTACAGAACAGTGTCATCGATTTCACATGCAAGCAAGATTCTACTGAAGATTATCCGAAAACGACTGGAACAGCACATCAGCAGAGAATTGCCAGAAGTCCAGGCTGGATTTAGAAATGGTCATAGTGACAGGGATATTGTAGCTAATGTTAGATGGATCTTGGCTGAAAGCATGGAATACTAGAAGAATGTCTATCTGTGTTTCATTGATTATGCAAAGGCGTTTGACTGTGTGGATCATAACAAATTGTGGCTGACTCAGAAGAATGGGAATCCAAGAACACTTGATCGTACTAATGAGGAACCTATACTTGGAACAAGAAGCAATTGTCAGAACAGAGCAGGGTAACACTGCATGGTTCAAAATTGGGAAGGGTGTATGCCAGGGATGTGTCCTGTCTCCATACCTTTTCAACCTGTTTGCAGAGCAGATTATCCAGGAGGCTAGGCTCTATGAGGAGAACCGTGGCCTCAGGATTGATGGAAGATCTATTAACATCATGCTTGGGAGTGTGGAGGGACAGTGCAGGAGGGGAAGGCCATCTATGAGGTGGATTGATTCAGTGACTGAGATAATCGGGATGGGAGTGTCAGATACAGTGCAATTGGCACAGGACAGAGCAGAGTTTAGGGCTGTTGTACATAGGGTCGCTATGAGTCGTAAGCGACTCGACGGTACATAACAACAACAAAAACAGTCGAGTGTACTCGGGGGGAGGGGTGTGGGGGCACTGTATACTGAAGAAAGAATTTTTCTTTTACTTTTCAAAGAGACGTGAACTGGCGGGAGGGCTCGGGGGAGGGCTGGGCAGGGAGAAAAGTACAACAATGAATGAATGGAAATCCAAAATATCTGTAAATGTTCATTAAAATTAATAAAATAAAATAAAAAAAGAGAAGTGCTTGCTAGGGTGGTATGACAAGAAAAAGAAATAAAAGGCAAAAGTATGGTTTAACTATTGCTACATGCAGATGGTATCAGCATGCAAAGAAAAACCCAAAGATTCAACAAAGAAAACTGTTAGCTCTAGTAGATAATGTTTACTAGAGTGGCAGGATTTAAGAACAATATCCAAAAATCAGTAAGATTCACCTACAGTAACTAAGAGAACTCAGGAAGGAAGTGAAGAAAGCAATACCATTTACAATCACCAACCATAAATTGTGATAGTTCAAAGTGATCTAATTAGGAATACAAAGGACCTATACAAAGATAACTACAGTACATTTCTGCAAGACACAATAAAAGTCCTAAAGAGAAAAATGTGTCCTATTCATGGATGTTGTTGTTGTTGTGCCCGATTGCCTTCGAGTCGAGCATGATGCATAGCAATCCCATGAACAAAAGGCCTTAGCCCCTTTGCAAGCATAGACATTTATCAAAGTTCATAGAGTTTCTGGAGGAATGTTATTTAGGAAGTGGATGTCACTCTTGCTTCTAACATTCATGGATAGGAAGACTCAATATTGTGAAAATGACAAACTTACTAAGAGCAATCTACATGTTCAACAAAATTCCAATCCAGATACCAAATTCACTTTTCACAGTTCGAATCCACCAGATGCTCTGCCGGGTAAGGAGGGACAATCTCCTCCTGTACCAGTCAGATCTGATTTGACGGTACACGCACACAAAAATAATAAAATAAAAAAAAATTCACTTTTCAAAGAAATTGAAAGGGAAATTATAAAATTTATTTGGAGAGGAAAGAGACCTCGAATAAGCAAAATACAGAGAAACAAAAGTGAAGTGGGAGAGATAACACTTCCTGACTTCAAAATCTACTACACAGTGATAGTAAACAAAACAGCATGGAACTGGTACAATGCCAAGCACATAGACCAATGGAACATAATTGAGAACCTAGAAATTAATTCAGTTATCTATGGTCAACTGATATTCAACGAGGAAATAAAACCTACCAAATGGGGAAATGACAACCTCTTCAACAAATGGTGCTGTCAAAAATGGACTGCTACCAATTCAAGGTTGATCAGAGAACTGGGAGTAAAGCCCAAAGCCATAAAGTTCATCAGAGACAAACCAAGATATCAAGCTTAGATGGCCTAGTCTGTGGTATAAACAGACTGCCAAAACCAGCCCGAAAGCTCAGTCTGGTAAGGATAAAATTGATGAATGGAACCTTCTAAAGATTAAATCTCTATGCACATCAAAAACATTTTCCAACAGGGTGAAAAGAAACCTACTGACTGGGAAAAAGCATTTGGCAGTACCATTTCAGACAAGGATCTCATATCAAAAGTTTACAGAATCCTGCAGGGCCTCCACAAGAAAAATACTGATAACACAATTACAAAATGGGCAAAAGATATGGAAAGAATTTTCACAGAGGAGGATATTCAAATGGTCAACAGACACATTAAGAAATGCTCCAAATCCCTGACAATAAGAGAGATGCAAATCAAAACCACAGTGAGATACCATTTCACCCCACCAGCAGTGGCAAAATTTAACAGGACATCAAGTAATAAAAGTTGGAGGGGATGTGGTGAGATAGGAACTCTTATACATTGTTGGTGGGATTGAAAAAGGTATAACCACTCTGGGAGGAAGTTTGACATTTCCTCAGAAAGCTGAACATAGAAATTCCATGTGACTCAGCTATTCCACTGCTTGGAATATACCCCAAGAAAATGAGAACTGAGACACAAATGGAGACTTGTACATCAATGTTTGTAGTAGCGCAATTCATCATTGCAAGAACATGGAAACAGCCCAAAAGTCCAACCACAGTCGAAAGGATTGAGAAATTATGGTACATTATTCATATGATGGAATACCACGCAGCATGCAGGAGCAGTGATTTTGTAAATGACTACCTGACTTGGGAGGGACTGGAGAACATTATGGTAAGTGAACTAACTCAGTCCCATAAGGACAAATATTATATAAGATCATTATTGTAGAATGAGTATGTGGATCCAAGGGGGAGGGGGGAGTAGACGCCTGAGGATGGAGAGGGAGGGTATTAATCTTAAGGTCACATAATTTGATGATTGGATGGGAAGGGTGAAGGAAATGGAAAGGTCTCTGTGAAAAACAGTGTGTGTGAATTTTGTAAATAGAACAGTATACTAAAAAAAGATCCTATGTTCCACAGCTCTGTTTTGACACACATGGACTTATTATGGAATCAACTAGATGACAACTAGTATTGTATATCATGCGAATTGTGACCTGTCCTGGGCTATCTTCACACACCTCACAAGTCCAAATACCTTAACAAAAGAGTAAAAACAACATTAATATAATGTTGACTAAAATTATTGATTCTTCTATGTACTAGGCACTATTCTAAGTGCTTTACAGAATTTAATTTTAAAAATATCCACTTTTATAATTCATTCATTAAGTAGAGTCAGAACTGACATATAGCTGATCCTTCATTGGGTATTTGAGGCTGTAAAATATAGGGAAGAAAATTTCTCATCTTTCTTTCATGTGATTGCTCATGGATTTTAACTTCCAGAGAAGTGTGACCTTTTAGTACAATTCCCTACATATTATGCCAGCAGAACTCACTATATTTTTATGAATTAAATATTCTTAGAAATACTTCTGTAACATTTGAGAAAAATAAAATGCAGAAAGGTTAAACATATCTGAAGCATTAATAAAAAAGCTAATAGATTCCAATAGGACATCTGAGCAAGAAGGATTGATTGTTTCGCCATTTATTTTGTCCATTAAAACAGCCCACTTTCTCTTTTGCTTTATGGCAGCTATTAAACCTTTTAAGCTGAGTATTGTCATGTTTAACTTTTCCTTTTTCACACTGGTTTCCTTTTAGGATATAAAATTAAATTTTAAGTGCTGATCACTAATCAGAGAAAATAAAGACACTTGGATTAAAAAACCCCTTTCAACTAGCCACTCATGTGTTTTCTTAAGTCTCTTACTGACATATGCTTGTGATGTCACTGAGGACTTTTGAATAAAGCTTAGAATTTTTTTAAGAATGTTTTTTAAATTGTGTTTTCCTATGAAGATATTATCTGACCCATTCCTGACACAATGAATGTGCTGAGATCAGTTATACAGGCTTTTGCAATTATATCACATACATTCCCTGCACCTGTGTACACATTGAACCATTAAATGTGAATCTATGGAAAACCTGGAAATAGCTATCTTTCTCTGTTGGGCTAAAAGAGATAAAAATTATACCAGGAGTAATAAATGTTGATGTTTATATGGTAAAGATACTGCTTTGTAAGCTTGTTGTGAAAATGTTCTGAATTGAGCAATAACATACTTCTTATAGTGAAAACTTATTGGCTGATTAATGCTTTTGTTTAGTTTTGAAAATATTGGTGTTTATGATCAATATTCTTCTGGCAAAATGTTTTAAAGTTCAAAGGTAGTTGAAGTCCTCAGAATAAAATTTTCTCATAAAACATTTGTCAGATGTAAATTTCCTATGTAAATAGAAAGTATATAATTGTAAAAAATAATACATTTAAATTATGGTTTCTTAAGGGAAATAGAATTTCTTGATTAAACACACTTTTTATAGTCTCAACTCCACTTATTGTTGTCTAATTGGAACCAACTCATAACTGGTCCTCAAGACCAGTTTTCAAGGGGCCAAAAGTTGTTTGAGAGGAGATTCTCCTGAGATTTATAATGTTAGATCTATAAACTGTTGTTACTATCTTGGAATAAAGTATCACTGTAACTCTTATTATTTATTCAAAATAGGAAGGAAATATTGGAATAAAACAGAAGCAATACTTTCCTGCCACAGATACACAAGGATAAACAATTTCCATCTTAAGTCAATAGAAAAATACGTAGCATATATTCTATGACAGGCTTTATTGTATCTAATTCAGGTTTGACTTTAAATAATTCCTTGCATTTTATTTTCTTTTGTTTAGGATATTTATGCAAATATATTTTAAAAGTAAATTTTTTACTGCTTACTTTTCCTGCTGTGTTGCTCGTGTTCATTTTGTTTTTGTCTTCTGTGTAGCTCAGGAGACTGGTGAATTCTTGTGGACTTCCTCCCTTCTGAATTGCACAAGTGTGTACAGTGTGTAGTGACTGTATTTGCTCAAGTAGCTTTCAATTCTAAACATGTGGCCTGCTGTCTTTTAGCCACACCTATCAGCTTATTCTTGAAAACAAGCAAAGAAACAAACAAAACTCAAACTGATTATTGTCTAGTCAGAACTGGCTTGTAGTTGACCTTCAACTGAGCTTCAGAGGTTGTAAATAGCATGGGAGCAAATTGTCCATCTTCCTTTCAAGAATGCACCGGTGGATTCAAACCACCAGAGAGGTTTGGCATTTGTGTTAGCAGTGAAACTCTCTACTGTCAACAAAGACTCCTTGTTTATTCTTACATCAAGAAATATTAGAAAGCAAAGAGTTCTGATCCCATATACAAAACCTAACATTATTTGCAACATGCTAATTTCAGATATCTTGATTTAATTAAGTTAGACATTTCCCTGCAAATAAATTTTATTCTCTCTCTTTTCAGTTTTTTCAAAGTTTCTTCATCTTCAAATCCACATAAGTCCCATAGAGTTATGTTTTCTTAAAGACTGCACAAAGCTCCAACTTTTCAGTCTGTCGGAGTTAGGTAAGAGAAGGAAGAGACAGGACAAATAAAGCAGGGTAGAGAAAGCTAATACCAGAGACAAAACGCCTGTCCTAGCACTCTTCCTTTCCTCACAGCAGAGTAGTCAGAAGCACAATCAGTCATAGTAGAGGGGCTCACTGTTCTCGGTCGTTCTGCTCTAGTTAATACTAGTCAGGATTGACTGAGGAATGCCCTGTGCCAGGCCAGTGCTCGCACAGTGGGAATGACAGCGATGAATGAGAGAAAATTTCTATCTGTACTAAGAGTCAGGATGAAACAGTCGTTGTTATGGACTTTGGGCTAAAACTCTATTAATTATTAGCTGTGTGGACTTGAACACATTATTAAACTGTGCTATTTGCCTTAGTATCTTTATTTACAAAATGAATTAAAAAGTACTATCTCAAATGGTTGGTTGATGAATAAAAGAGATAATGTGTGTATTTATGATAGAGTGTAGAAGGTAGGACAAGTCTTATATTAACTACAATGTTTGTTCATAAAAGAAGCTCACAGTCTATAAAGATAAATACAGCATAAGGCCATTAATGTAAATATAGAAGGATAACTAGTAAAACATGTATGGAGGTCCACGGGGGGGCAAGGTGGGAACAGAGAGGGGTGAGGATGAGTAGGGGAGAAATCACAGGGTCACACAATTTGTTGAGTGGAAGGAGGAGAGGATAAAGGAAATAAGAAAGATCCACTGAGGACGTGGAAAGATGGGGTAATGGTGGACATAGTCCAAAGGTATGAAACAAAATGTCAATGAAGGAAAATGTGAAACACACATGAAACCCATAATGTACATGAATGAAATGCAATGCAATGTGTATGAATAATTACATGCATAGCAATAAAAATATTATTTTTTTTTAAAAATCTGATGTACTAAAGATACATAGGCATTCATGTCAGCCTATATAGGTAGTGCTGTACCTGTGGGAGGATGTTCTGATGAAGGATTCAGAGGAGGCTTTGTAGAAATTGAGTTAGAGATCAAGTGCTAATAATTTTAATTACAGGATTTAGACCAAATAGTAATAATTTTAAATAAATTTAAATATAGAAAAACTCTTTTGGGGCATGTGCTAGAGAATATAAACTTAAATTTTTAGAAATCTTAAATCTTCTATGGACAGTTTTTCAATTTTTAACTCAGGTGCCATTTTGCACAGAGACATAGTAATCTTAAGAGCATATTTCTCCTGTATTGTTAAGGAAACAACTCTGTTGTCTGTTTCTATCCCTGTCCTGGCATTTATTTGAATGAGAGGTCAAAAATCATAATAACTTTATATTCATATATATTTTATTTTATTACATTGCTAACTACAACCTCATTCAATCTTTCACATGCATTTTTATTTGTAACAGTGTGATTATAATTTAATGCAATCAGTTATAAGAACTTTCTCTTATATCATTATTTACCACTGAATAATATCATGTAAGGTATATGTGTGTCAGGGTTGTGTTCTTTCTTTTTTCCTATACAGTCTGTAAAAAAGTCATTAATTATTAAAAAAGTATTAATTATTAAAAATATTCATTAATTGTTGCATAATTTAGCCTAATTTACTCCATATAATCCATCTCCCAGTCCAATTTGCTATGCACCTTTTATTCTGGATGGTTGTCATATAAATAATGTGTAATCATATATTCCTTTTAAAAAATCCTTTCCTTCAAAATTTTTGTTAATAATCAAAGACAAATTGAATTGTTGGATAATATTTTTTATTTCATCCATCAACTTATTTGGCAGTTGGTCATTAATGTCTAAGCCATCAAATATTTTTGGGATGGTTTTTACATTCAGGTGGAAAAAATTCAATGTCATATTTTGGTTTTATCGGACGTGCTTTAATTTTCCTCAATTTTGGCTTTTTACTTGCACAAGGGAAATTGATCAATCCATCTATTCCATAGTCAATCCCTGGCCTTGTTTTGACTGCTGATATTACATTTAGAATAATAGAAATCTCAGAACCCTTTACTGTATTCATGCAAAACCTATACCTAGACTAGGAGGCTGTTGTCTGAGCAGAGCAAGGGAACACTGCATGTTTAAAAATCAAGAAACTGAGTGCATCAGGGAGGAATATATATGTTTTCCACACCTTTTCAATCTACAGGTGGAACAGCTCATTCAGAAAGCTGTGCTTTATAAAGAAGAATGTGGCATCAGGATTGGAGAAAGACTCGTCAACACCCTGTGAATCTGAGAAGGATTTAAAGCACTTGTTGCAGAATGTAAAACACTGCAGTGTCCGATACGGATTGCATTTTAACATCAAGAAAACAAAGATCCTCATCACTAGGCCAATAGGTAGTATCATGATGTTGTTGTTGTTGTTAAGTGCCGTCGAGTCGCAGGCGACTCATAGCGACACTATGAAGGAGAGTCCTTGACGCTTGGGTGCCTTTCATCCTCTCTCCAGGTTCATAGGGTTTCCGGAGGCAAGCTATTATGGAAGTGGACGCCATTCCTCCTTCCACGCTAGTT